TGTATACCAGATAATATGTGAAGTACCCGAGCCCTAGGAAGTCGTAGTTTCGTAGGTCCTAAATATAAGCTAAGCATGTTTTTGTGGCCCATGGAATGTGATAATGATTGTGTTCAGGCTGGATCACAGACACGTCATCAGACCGAAGGGTTGCAATTGGCCATGGAGAGTTCCTCGAGTGTGGATGAGCCTTTCTCATTTTTTGAGGTGCCTTGGACGGTCTTTGCATTCCGTGCAGTTCTAGACTAGTGCTGTCTGGTGTACACATAGATCATGTATATGCGTATGTATACTGAGGATGATGAGGAGTTGGACGCATTGCTTGCCCAGATTGGGACGGCTCCTAGGATGTTAAATTAGTATAAGCTGCTGTTCGCGCCGGTGCATGCATTGCATGCTGGTATGATGTGTGAGCAGTTCAAGCTTGAGTGTAGGTATAAATATGTTGGCAGTCGTGGTACCCACGAGTGCCGAGGAACCGGTACGGGTGGCAGACTCGTCGACTGCAAATCGTGTGCCTTTGATGCTAAGCAGACCCTGCTCATGATGCATTGCATGTTGGTACAGTGCTGTGGCTGGCTGTCGAGTGTATGTGCTAGCTGTCCATGATGTAAACTGCGAGGCCCGAGACCTCATGACTGCCGCGAATGAGAGCATCCATGCTGAGACGGATCATGTATCTTCGAAGCTGTATTTAGTGTGCTGGCACAGCTGTTTGCATGCCAACGACAGTGTCCGAGATGAGGCCGAAGACCAGATGATTGCGAGTGAGGGCATCCATACTCAGAAGATGGATCCTGTGCCTGGGTTCGAGGTTATTAGAGTGTTTGCACAGCTGTGTTGGCATGCCATTATGATAGTGTCCGAGGCCGACGACCAGGTGATTGCTGCGAGTGGGGGCATCCATACTGAGATGGATCGTGTGCCTGGGTTCGAAGTTGTTGGAGTGTTCGCACATGCAATGTTAAACGTTGGCATGCCAACGATAGTGTCCGAGGCCGAAGATCAGGTGATGGCGAGTGAGGGCATCCATACTGAGATGGATCGTGTGCCTGGGTTCGAAGTTAGAGTGTTTGCACAGCTGTGTTTGCACAGCTGTGTTGGCAAGCCAGTTTAATGATAGTGTCCGAGGCCGAAGATCAGGTGATGGCGAGTGAGCGCATCCATACTGAGAAGATGGATCCTGTGCCTGGCTTCGAAGTTAAAGTGTTTTCACAGCTGTGTTGGCAAGCCAATGATAGAGTCCGAGGCCGAAGACCAGGTGATTGCTACGACCGAGGGCATCGATACTGGGATGGATCGTGTGCCTGGGTTCGAAGTTGTTGGAGTGTTCGCACATGCTGTGTTGGAATGCCAACGATAGTGTCCGAGGCCGAAGACCAGGTGATTGCTGCGGGCGAGGGCATCCATACTGATCAGATGGATCGTGTGCCTGGGTTCGAAGCAAAGATCCTCAATGCTTATGTTAGAGTCTGTTAGAGTGTTAGCTTGCCCGGCTCTTTGCATTCTTAGGGTAGTGTCCGATACGAGGCCGAAGACCTTCAGATTGCTACGAGTGAGGGCATCCGTGCTGAGATGGATCGTGTGCCTGGGAATGGAAGAGTGTTCTGCATTCTCTATAGATGGTATGTGTGTGTGTGTCACATGTAGTCTATGTGGGTATCCATATTTGCACATAGTGATGAGGCCGACAACCCGGTCATAGCTACAGCTGATGAGGGCCACGATGCTATGATGGTCCCTGTGCCTTCGCTATATTTGTGCCCCAAAGCCAGATCTGATATTGTGTGTGTGTGTTTGTGTGTGCTGTTGTGCACCGGTGCATTCGTGTGTAGTGAATATCAAGAACTGTGTGTGGTCAGAACATTTCCCTGACTGCTTGTGGGATTTCAACTTGGAAGTTTAAACCAACGAGGGCATCGGCATTGCTTAGACGGAGATGCTTTCACAGCTAAGGTTGCCAGTGCTCCGGGCCAAGGAATTGCCACGGAAATGGATCTGGTGCCTTGAAACTTATATGTGGGGTGCATGTGTTTTGGCAGGTATTTAATGATGCTACCGAAATAACTATGAGGCCGTAGCTGCAATTCTCGTTGGTGATCCGATGGATGCAGTGCCCTCGAAGCAAAGAGTGTCTGACTTTTCATGAATGTGTGTGTTTGCGCTTGTATCCATGGAGCCGCTACAACAGCTGAGGTGGAAGCTGAGAGCCAAGGCATCGCCAATGCTGGGATGGATCGGGTGCCTTGGGCTACATTGTGTGCCGAGGCTGATGTGTTGGCATGTAGACATGGTGGCATGCTCAGGCCACTGCTGCAGCTACGGATGCTGGGATGGAGGTCGTGCCTTCCATGTCAAGACAGTGTACATCCTAGCCTTTCATTTTTTGGGTATACATACATACATACATACATACATGCATACATACATATATACATACATACATACATACATACATACATACATACATACATACATACACACACATATATATATATAGGTGTGTGTGTGTTTGTGTGCATGCGACTGAGTGAAGGATATCAGTGAGGGAGTACATGAGAGTGTTATGAGTGAGAGTGTTTGTGTGTGTGTGATTGTGTTTGTGTAGGTGTCTGTCTGTTTCCATGTGCATCTGTGTCTTTGTCTGTGTGTCTGTGTGTGCTGTGCATAATGTATGTATGTCTACGNNTATATATATATATCTGTGTATGTCTGTGTACGTATGTATGTATGTATGTATGTATGTATGTCTATATGTCTGTATGTATGTATGTATGTATGTATGTGTGGATTTATGTGTGTATGTTCTGTGTATGTATGTATGTATGTATGTATGTATGTATGTATGTATATGTGTGTATGTATGTGTGTTTGTCTGTTTGTTTTTTGTGTGTAGGTATGTATGTATGGATGGATGGATGCATATGTATTGCTATACACATACATGCCGGTATGTATTCTAAATATATACGTACATGCATACATACATACACATACATAATATATATATATGTATATATACATGCTTATCTATTTATTTATATTCCGATTTATTTATACACGCATATACATACATATATGTGTGAACATATACATATATGTATGTCTCTGTGTGTGTATGTCTCCGTTTGTGTGTGTGATTGTCTGTGTGTGTGTCTGTGTTTGGTGTCCACCTGTCTCCAACCCGGAAACCTAAACCCTAAACCTTACATAAACGCGCCGACGCGAAATCGTCCGGATGTCTGGGATCAGCACAATCCACCGAGCGAAGCTGATTGGGAGCTCTGGCGGGAGCAGTACCAAAAATCGGACTCCGAGGCTCAATATACTATTAATGTTGTGGTGTGACCAGCCGTGCACACGTTCGCTGCAGATTCGCTTGATCAGCAGTGTGCAGGACGAAGCTACCAACCGGAACCCCAAAAGAAAGCTGGAGGATGACTTCAATGCACCCCGGCCCTTATCAAAAAACACCATTTTAAGCTTCTCTAGCCAGGGTACTTGGTCGTATGTTCTCGAGAAAACTCTGCCCAGGATGCAGATGAGGAGGTGAGTTCCGAAACCGCCGCCAGTACGAAGGCCACGATCCGGAGCCTTGCACAGGTTTCCATTGTACCAGTAGTCAGATTTGATACATGTTATGGAAAGGTGCCAGCCCCAAACGACGAAGCCCCTCACGACGAAGCCCCTCGTGTAAGCAACGGTGCCTACAAGGA